GTGGATGCACTTGTACAACCAAATCTCTCCATTTTTGTGCGTATTGCCCGAAACTCTCGTTATGCTTCTTTTCCATGCTTTGTAGCATAACTCGATCTGGTTTTATGTCATTGACATGCTTGTATTGTTCCAGAAATGACTTGGTCAGGTCCTTCCAGGTCTTGATATTTGATCGGCTCAACTAGTTGTACCACCGAATGGCTGAGCCCGACAGACTCTCCTGGAAGCAGTGGATCAGGAGTTGGTCGTTTCCTCCATATCCTGTCATCTTTCGGCAGAACATGATGATGTGAGCGGATGGACAACTGTTCCCGTCAAACTTCTCGAACTCCGGGGACTTAAATTTCGGAGGAAGAACCAAGTCCGGGACTAGACTGAGTTATGCGACATCGATTTCATGGTAGTCATGGTCTCCTTTGACTACCTTCATTTGGTCCTCCAATTGTTTGATTTTTCCTCCATCTTGCTTGTTTTGTCCTTTTCGTCCAATCCAGTACATGGTAATAACCAGGATTATTCTTAGGGTTAAATACATAGGACGAGGGTTTCGCTTTTACAGCAGATGAGTCCCCTCGAAGTTCTGGTAAGATTTCAGGTGAGATAACCACTTGTGGGGTAGGTTGTATAGTTACCCCTTCCGGTGAACCTGCCCCAGGCGCACTGGTATGTTTTAAGCTAACTAACTTGGCAACGATCTGATCGACCAAAGACTCTTGGTTCTTCATGATTGTTTTCAGAGTATTTTGACTGTTCTGGTTTATCTTGTCTTCTAGCTCTTCCTGTAGTTTCAACATATTCTCCTCGATTTGTGTAATTTTGGCTTCCATCATCTTCTTCTTCAAATGGGAGTTATGCGGATGGGGTGTGTCTGATGCTTGAGGCGGTGTATCCAGTATTTGTTCCTTTTGATGAGACATGTATATGTTAGTTAATGTGAATGCAAAGAAAATGCAAAATGTCTAAATGCATGATGCATGAAATGTCCGAGGCATTGATCCAAAAATGTGACTGTTATTCTGAATAACCCTTATTGGTGAAAAAATTGTTACGTCTGAAGAGACATAAAACTTTTTGATGGTATAGATCCCGCACAGCTTCTGACAAGTTGATTCGTCTTCCGCCTTTCTCCCCGGTTGAATATCCCGTCGAACCATTCTGGTTCATTTGGCTAAACTTGTGCAGGTGACGACCTGCTTGCCCCAAAAAGGTCTCGAATGACTGCATCTCCGGCTTTCACTCTATGTCGAGCTTGTTCCAAACGAAAGTGCCATCGGAGCCCTCCACCCAAAGTTTATCGACTTGTTTCTAGAATTTATCCATAATGATCTCCAACTCAGCTAGGGTTTTGCCATCTTGTTCTCGCAGTTTTCGAAAAGACTCTCCGGGTCGGTAACATTTTCCTCGTCTTGCCCCTGCAACTTTTGCCTCCAAGTGTTCTTTGACCACGGTTGGGCTTCTGAGCTTTTTATCTCTTTGTATTATAATCCCTTTGTCCATTAATGCAGATTATTCATGCTTAACAAACACATTTTTGGTGGATTAACACCTCGTTTTAAATGATGCGAATGATGAAAACAAAACGAAATAGAATAAAAAATAAAAGGGGTTAGTGAGGTAAATCAAAATAAAAAATAAAAAAATGAAAAAATCTTACCCCACATGATAATCTACCCGAACATGCTTAATATTCCTACCCAGACATGATTTCTAACCCGCATGCTAATTTCAAACAAATCCTAGCCGCATATTTGTCTTGTTCGCATGCTTTGAACAGAAAATAAAGCAGGAAACAAAGCAGCCTAGGGTTTGGAATGAGGTATTGGGGTAGGCTCTAATTCCTTGTATTCTCCCGATTTAGGTTCTAAAAAGGTACTCGAGTTCTCCTTGCCGGTGCCCCCTTGGGCTTACCAGACCCTTAGTCCTAAGCCCATCACAGGCTTGTGTGGTCTAAGTTAAACTCGAGAGGACACATTCCCTTATGCCCGCACGGTGAATAAATTCACACGAATGCGTCGCTTTCACCCCCACTTAAGACGGGTTCGGAGCACGGGTTTAGAGCTTAGAGATGACAATTTTGAAAAAAATCTGAAGTCATTAAAAAACGTCAGTACAACTATTTATTTGAAAAAAATAATCAAAGATAAATAATTGGAATCGAATAAATAAATTAAAATTAAAATTTAACATTTCCGCATAAAAAGACAACCGAAAATTAATTTCGGCCTGACTCACTTATCTGTCCCCAGTGGAGTCGCCAAGCTGTCGGAACCGTCTTTCGGTTGGGTCTGAAATTGGGCTTCGACTTGGATTAAATGAATTGGAGTCGCCGCCGACCACTTTAAAATGAATTTAGGTGGGCCAGACACTATCTTACCTGATCTGCGTTGTACCAGAAACGTGTCGGGTTCGGGAGTCGGTTATGGTCAAGGAAGAATGAGCACCCTTGAATCGCCCTTTCGGTACCAATTAATTTGTCAGTTGACTTAATTGCGAAAATTAAAATTTAAAATTGAAATTTAAAATTTCGGTTCGAACCACATTACTTACCTTTGATTAATTGAGATTATTACTGAAAAAGGAAAAAATGTTAGATAGAGAAAAATATATATAAAAATAATGGTACTAAAAAAATAAACTGAAGGAAAAATAATAATAAAAATATGTATACCAAAGAAATAAAATAATAAAATTAAAATTAAATAAATAAAACTAAAGAAGTATTAAAAAATTGGTTTAAAAGTAAAAATGAAAACAATACGAGGTAAAAAAAATACTAATAATAATAAAAAAGCATGATAATAAAAAATAAAAAAAATAAAATAAGAATTTAGGGATCAAATTACAAAAAATGTAAAATATAAATGGGGACCAAATTGAAACCGTTGAAAATCCAGTGGCCAAATTACAACTGGTGACCGAATTGCAAAGCGAATCAAAGTACGAGGGACGACGGAACGAATTCAAAAATCCCCTAATTGCACAGAGGCCCCTAGTATTTAAATGGGCCAAGAGACCCTTTCTTCTTTATTTCTCACCATTCCTCAAACAACATCTCTCCCAGCTCTCCCACTCTAAAAAACGACCCTTCTCTCGAGTGGGAACCCAGCCATGCCAGCCTCCACTGGAAATCGCTCCGGTCGCCATCGTCGGTGGCCAGATAACCCCAAAACCTCACTGAGTACCCTCCTCATCACCCTAAACGCAAAATCAAATCCTAAGTCGCCTAAAACTACCCCGAACGCAATAGATCTGGCCCGAAAGGTTCGGTCTTTTTACCTTCCTCGTCGGCGACCTTTGACTTTTCCGGTGACCGTGTTGCTGTTTTTGCTTTGATTTTTTTACTTTGCTTTGCTGTGGGGCTTCGGCCTTTGGGTTTATGTTTCGATTTGGGTTTTTTGTTGGCTATTGTGGTTCGGTTTTGCTTCGATGCTTTTTATTGTTCTTGTTTTCTGTGGCTCGATTATAGTGGTTTGGTTTTCTTATGAGGTTGGCTCGTTGATGACCTGGTTCTCTGTTTCACTCGATGATACTCTCGGTTTAGTGTGGTTCACTCTTGGCTTCGTTTGTTGGTCGTATGTGAGTTCTGTTGTTGGTTGATGGGGTCCTCCCCCCCTGATGATATCTCTGTTGGTATTTATATAGCCCCCAACAGGGTTGTTTCCGGTGATGACGGGGTCGTTCCCGTACCTTTCGAGCCTAACGTTTGTGGTTAGCCGACCATCCCGGGATGGGTCAGTCCCGAGAATCTCTGTCGGAACGTTTGACCGTTGCGTGCTTGACTGCACGGCTCCCCTGATTTGCGTCGCCTGTGACATGTATGACTAGGGTTTCCTAGACCCTGAACCTTATATTGATATTAGGCTAGTTCAGGCCCGTTATTTGGACTGTTATTTGGACCCCGTTTGGACCCTGACAAAAATAATGAATGAAATTAAATTAGATTAATAAAATGAAATGAAATAAAATAAAATAAAATAAATAATAATAATAATATAGATTATTTAATATATGTTTCAAATTTTTTTTTTAAACTATATATTTTATTTAAAAACGTTTTCAAAACTATATATTATATAGTTTTCAAAAATGATTTTAAAAATGTTATATAAGTTTTCCAAAATGTTTTTTTAAACTATATATTATATAAATTTTTAAAAAATGTTTTTTAAAAACTATATATTATATTTTCAGAATGATTTCAAAATTATATACTATATAATTTTCAAAATGTTTTTAAAACTTATATATTGTACATAAGTTTTCAAAAACGTTTCAAAAAATTATATAATATATATTTCAAAAAAATATTTTTTGAAAACTATATATTATATTTTTTCAAAAACACTTTCAAAAATTATACTATATTACTATAATAAAAATAAATAAATAAAAACCAAAATTCGGACGAAAAATAAGTGTTTACAGATTGTTCTATCTTCTGGAATATCTAATCCTGATTAATTGATCTATAAATCGGATACTAATAATTATGTTAAAAGAAAAAGAAAGTATTCATTGATAAATACTAAGAGAACATGGTAGCAGCACACTTCCATCTGAGCACAAACAGGGGCCGCAGCCCACAAACAAGGAGAAAATGTACACAAATAGAAAATAAAAAGCAGATAACATGTGGATTGTTCTCATTAGTAGCAGGCAGCACATCATGATTTTTGTTTTCCATGCTGAAACAGGAGGAAAGCCCTAATACTAAAATAATAGCCCTCTTCTTCCATATTAAAAAAAGAATTCAGTACTACCACACTGAACTAAAGTATTCGTAAAGTGAACGTGTTAATTAAAAATTAGCAAAAACAATCATCCCTGGTAAACTGTTAACTGTATATCCTTTATTTTATAACCATGGGGCCAAAATATTGTGTGTACAAATCGATTGCTTCTTGAAAAGTTCCAACGAGAAGAAAGAAAGCCCATTGTATGATTTAAAAAAGTCAAAATATGCCCCCAGGTTTAGCCTAACGTTCTTAACATATATTCCTGATAGATGAGAAGGGGGACAAGTTTCCACATGGACTCTACAATGGAGAAAAGCAGAATTCAAATGTTATATGATGCCTGTCATTATGTATTTTCCCAGAAAGAGCTTCCAACTTTCCAACAGATTCAATGGCTAAAAACTATCTTAAGTACTGGTTACTCCCTTAATTTTCTCATTTTTGTATATGTTTTAGGTTTGTTTTCTAGGGGGGAAAATACTAGTTAAAGGGTGAATTTCGTTTATCTTTTTTTATAAAAAAACGCAGATTTATTCGAAGCTGTTGACGTTGGAATAGATGAATTTAGCTTGGATGGATCTCCAAGTTCAAGCCAGACCATGATCAGCAATGGGTTGATTTCTGGGCTAGGTATTTCTGAAATAACTTACATTCACATCCATGAATGCGACAAGGTTTCAGTAAGTATGTTTGTTCATTTATTTTTTCATTTCATATTCATATATTTCATGTGTGATTAAATCAAGTTTGTTGTTTGTGCAGATGGGGATTTTTTGCTTGCCGGCCGGCAGCGTTTTCCCACTCCACGATCACCCTGGTATGACAGTTCTAAGCAAGCTTCTTTACGGTTCGGTTTACGTCAGAGCCTACGATTGGGTTCGTGCGGAGAATTTTAGCCCCAGAGCAAGTAAGGGTTTTAATCCGCATACATGTCTACGTCGTCAATCATGCTTGGATTGAAGTTAACAAAGAAAATGATATGAAAATCATCAAGTATATTAGCTTAAACATGTGTTGCAATGGCGAGAGTTGCAGATGGAGTTGCGGCCACTGCGATAGACGGCATCTTCAATGCACCTTGTGAACCAACGGTGTTGTTTCCGAGGAGTGGTGGAAACATCCACTCATTCACCGCCTTGACCCCTTGTGCTATCTTGGATGTGTTATCTCCGCCGTACTCTGACGACTTCGGCAGGCCTTCAACGTACTACTCAGACTTCCCCATCCCTTCACTTCCAGGTAAATCATCAAAAATTCAAGTTTTACCATATCTGTAATCATCAAACTCATCCAAATTTATGCTTCAATATTTCAATTTAATGCCCAGGTTATGCTTGGCTGGAGGAAAGGGAACTAAAACTGCAATATGAATTAGTTGTTAAGGGGGCGCCGTACCTTGGTCCTCCACTTGATGTTGCAGATGATCTTTGCTAATTGGAACTACAATAATTCCTTGCCCAAAGAATCAGTGTTTTGTATATAGTGTTGTAAAGGGAGTATATAAATATATATATAGATATATACACACAATATGGTTGGAAAACCCACGTTTTCAAGTGCCTAAAATGACTGTTGGAATATTGGTGGGAATGCGAGCAGCCCACAATATTCGAGAATCGTGGCATTTTTTTTGAATGAAAGAATCGTGGCATTTAACTTATAAAAAAGAATCACTCAATTATTGATTAAACCTAATAAAAGCATAATTAGCGTATATTATTGGTATTTTTCTTCTTTGATGGGGGGAGGAATTTTTGTTCCCTCCCGCACCGTCAAACACAACAGTTTGCGCCAACTTTCACCTTCGGTTTCATTATGTAACAATTAAATCGAATCTCCTCCATTCATTGCTATGTCAACTATAGCTGCAGTCAAACACATCAGGCTTCCAGGGTTTAACCTTGTACAGCTTTTTATGACGATGACGATGATAGTTGTTACTTTTAAGTCACAACTTGGAGCCTGTAGAAACGGAGCTTCAAGTTTTGGATGCAGTTCTTATGAGAAATAAAAAAGATTGAAGTGGGAGCTCCTCATTGATAGAGATTCAAAACCATGGAACGTTATGAAGTTGTGAAAGATATAGGGTCAGGGAACTTTGAAGTGGCTAAACTAGTCAGAGATAAATGGACAAAAGAGCTCTTTGCTGTGAAGTTCATTGAGAGAGGGAAGAAGGTTATCTTCATATCCTTTTATTACCTCTTGAATCTTTCTGATGTCCTCATCTTCTTCTTTTTCATGTTTTTTGTTTGGATCCTTAGTCAGAGATGTCATTCATGGATGGATGTGTTGATTAAAGGGTTTATGTTTTTTCCCCTGTTTTTGTTGCATATAGATGAACATGTACAAAGGGAAATCATGAACCATAGACCATTGAAGCATCCCAATATTGTTTGATTCAAAGAGGTTGGTTCTATATTCCTTGTTCCTTTATTGTCAGTGTTCGTTATCTTGTATCCTGTCGAGCTGAGCTTTAGTCAACACTCTGATCTTTTTTTTTATTTACCACCCTTCTCTTCCCATCAATGGAGAACCAATGAAAAAAATTCATAGAATGAAGAGAGACAACAATATCTATGTAGTTGACAGTTATGTCATTAATTGTTCCAGCCTAAACCCTGATGTTTGAATCAAGTGCCAAAATGAAAAATCAAGCTTCATTGTCAGTGTTGTAAAGCAAATTACTGTCCCTTGAAACAGGAAAATGGGAGGATGAAAAATGCAAATGATTTTTACTTTCATGTTACTTTTAAATGATCAACTATGCAAATTGTTGGCTGTTGGTCCTTGCAGGTTCTTCTTACACCAACTCATCTAGCCATAGTCATGGAGTATGCTGCCGGGGGAGAACTCTTTGAGCGCATTTGCAATGCTAGTAGATTTGGTGAGGATGAGGTAAAATAAAAATGGATAACATTTCATGTTTCTTGGAATATTTGGGTCCATATTCATTACATGTTGTATCGGATGCTCTAATTTGAATTCGAACAACGTAGTTTCTCATGCATATGAATTTTCTATTGGAATAACTTACCTCATCTTTTCCATGTTGAGTTCCAACAGGCAAGATTTTTCTTTCAGCAATTGATATCAGGAGTCAGTTACTGTCATTCAATGGTATTAAATTCTGGCCTTTTTAGCTCATTTTCTTTCTTTTTTCCCCTAAATCTCAAGTAACCTTTTGCTGCTATTGTTAAAGATGTAAATTTTGGATTGCAGCAAATGTCACAGAGATCTTAAGCTTGAAAACACTCTCCTGGATGGCAGCACCGCACCACGTGTCAAAATCTGCGATTTTGGATACTCAAAGGTATTCAACATTAACCAATCATCAAGTTTGCAATAACAACATTGAATTTACTAGTTGCTAACTATCCTACAATTTTTGCAGTCATCTGTGTTTCATTCACAACCAAAATCTACTGTCGGAACACCAACATACATTGCACCCGAGGTTCTATCTAAGAAAGAATATGATGGGAAGGTAAAATTTTACACCGATTCTTCATTCTGCTCGAAGTACCACTGTCGAACAACCGTATCTGATGCATATTCAGACAGGATCTACATCTAATCTTCCGTAACTATAGATTGCAGATGTTTGGTCATGTGGTGTGATCTTATATGTCATGCTAGTTGGGTCATATCCTTTTGAAGATCCTGCTGATCCAAAAAACTTTAGAAAGACAATCGGAGTGAGTGTTACTTCAAAGTTAAACATAATTTGAACTTATTTAACTGCAATTTGTTTGAGGCTTCACTTACAGATTATTGGTGATGGCAGAGAATACTGTGTCCACTACTCGATTCTGGATTATATTCGAGTTTCTATAGATTGCAAACATCTTTTGTCTCGGATATTTGTGGCAAATCCTGAAAAGGTGTGGTTTAATACAATTTCTGCAAATCATCCAATCTTTGCTTGAATTGTTTACATTCTCTCTTATCACTTGTTGGTGCAGAGAATAAGTATACCAGAGATCAAAAGCCACCCTTGGTTCTTAATGAACTTGGCAATGGAGCTAAAGGAAGAGTGGAGCTGAGAGAGCTACGATGTGAACGACCCTTCACAGAGCTTGGAAGAAGTAGAGTGTATAATACAGGAGGCCATGAAAACCACTGAGGTCCCCAGGGTTGGGGGACTTTCCATGGCCGGAAGCATGGAGCTTGATGATGATGATTTAGATGCAAATTTTGAAGATGTAGACAAGTGGTGATTTTGTGTGCCCGGTGTGAACTAAAATACATACATATATACACATCAATAGACCCCTTCTCCAATTACTTCATTTTTCATACGCATGCTTTACCTACTTTGAAAAGGAAAAAAGTAAATCATTTTAATATCTCTGTTAAGGAGAAGGAAGGCACTGAACTGACTTGGGTGCCGCTAGGGACGGACCTAGGATCTTAGGCTACGCAGACAACTTCTAAAATTTTAGTAAACTTATAAAATTCTAGAGGGCGAAAACATATTATCAATTAAAAATACAAAGAAAATATCTAAAATATATACTAATTTGAAATTTTCATGAGAGATGACTGCCCCCATCATCCCTTCAGTCCATTCCTAGGTGCCGCCTTCGCTCACCATGAAGGTTCCATCTTTCAACCATGGTTGTATCTTTTTAAGCATTCAAATGTTCCTTTTAACTTAGGAAATAAGCAATCCACCGATATGAAATCCACTTTTTACTTTTGTGAACTCAATTACTTTTTTTTTAAACATTACAATGCATAACTTCAACGTTTTTATTCTCAATTTCGTTTTCGGTATATTAATTTACTAATAAAACTAAATTTTTATTCTTGCATACTATATGTATTCTTATGTACAAATACATATAGTATTCTGATCGTCCAGATGACACAACAAAAGCTAGGGCCTTTTTCTTAAAAAATCAGTCAAATGTTTTCAATGTTTACAGAGGAGAAACATGAATGTGGTTAAGGATATTAATCAGAAATTATAGTGCAATTAACATAACTTACAACTGTTCAGCAGCATTTATTGGCTTCATTGAGTGAACAGTTGTAGTGGTGTAGAATTAAATTTATGTGCGAGATGTAGCTAAAAAGTGTTTTAACTCTAGTTATAAATGCCAACCAGAATGTCTCGCACTGGCAATATTCAACTGCATCAGAAATGTTGTAATGCTACAGTTTTCGTATAAAATAAGAAAATAGCCCCTTGTACCCACCAAGAAGGGATTATGAATTAAGACTGGCATATATTATAAAGCATAGAGGTGATGGAAGTAAGGACGGACGCATGATTTATTATAGGGGAGCGAACTTATAAAATTTTAAGATGGAGAAAATAGATAATCAACAGAAAACACAATGAAAATAACTAAATTTTATGAGAATTTGAAATTTTCAGGAGAACGACCTCCCTCGCCGACCCCTTGGTACATCCCTGTATGGGAGACCAACCCAAGCTTTCAGAGTGAAAAAGCTTCAATAAACCCTCAAACGAAGATTTCAGTGATGGTGTGTTACGTTTTAGGATAGAATTTTAGAAGAATTTTCTACGGATTTTAGAAATAGAAGAAATAGGTACAGAAAACATGCTCTCATTCATTAGATACCCTTAAAAGATTTTGGTACAATTATATATAAACAAGTACCACAGCTGTCTAACAAAATAACTGCCTAAAATGCTGACTCACCCCTTCATCCTTCTATCCATCCGTTTTGGATTCATATAACCCCAAACCCAAACAAATAAACCCACTGATCTACTTAGTTGGGTCTAAGTAACTAAAACCCACTTACTCTCTTAACCCAGACCCATTACCATATAACCCATTTCCTTCTCTACTTCAGTCTCTCCCACTCCAGATATCATTGAAATCCCTAATCCCCTTCGATCCCTAATTCCCTTCTCTCTTTCCCCAATTCCTGTTGCTGCCTCCCCGATTTCCTTCTTCGATATTTCCCCAAATCAAATCCTTCCAACCCTAACTCTCCTTCCATCATGACAATACCCCCTCCATCAAACGATCCTTGTCCCCAAGGATCAAAATCGGGAAACTGGGTTTGAAGACTGAAGCATCTTCCCATGTTGCATCATTCGGCCCCATGTTTGTCCACTGGATCAATATTTGAGGAATGTTCTGGTTCTGTCGTTTCACCACTCGGCGGTTCAACACAGTTGTTGGGTAGATTTTCAAATGATCGTCTGAAGACGTTTCTGGAGGATTCAGCAAGATAAGTCCCCGCTTTCCTATTTTCTTCTTCAATAAGCTAATATGAAACACGAGATGTAATTTGGAATCTGGTGGCAATTCCAGTTGATATGCAATCTGACCAATTTTCTTCTGTATTTTGTAGGGACCAAAATATCGAGCAGCGAGCTTTAAGTTTCTTCGTAAAGCAAGTGAGGTTTGTCTATACGGCTGAAGCTTCAGGTAAACTTCCTCTCCTACCTGAAAATCCCTTTATGTACAATGCTTATCCACAATCTGTTTCATTCTATTACTGGCTTTAAGCAGTTGTTCACGTAGTAATGCATTGAAGTGCTCTCTATCTTACATTAAATTTTGTACTGCATCCACTCTAGCATCCCCTGACCAACTCAGAATAGGAGCCTTATAGCCATATAAGGCTTCGAATGGGGTCATTTTTATAGAAGAGTGGTAATTAGTATTATACCACCACTCTACTTGAGCTAACCATTTTGACCAAGATGGTTTTAAAAAACACATACATCTAAGATACTGCTCTAAACATTGGTTGAGTCTTTCACTTTGGCCATCTGTCTCAGGATGATAGGCAGTACTAAAAAGTGTAGTTGTCCCTAATTGCTTAAGTAGCTCTTGCCAGAATAGACTAGTAAAAGTCTTGTCTCTATCAGAAATAGCTATCTTAGGAGGACCATGAAGCTTATAAACTTGATCCAAATAGACTTTAGCAACTTGCACCACTGTGTAGGGATGTGACAAAGGCATAAAATGAGCATACTTAGTAAACTTGTCAATCACTACCAAAATATAGTTGTACTTTGTTGAATGTGGCAACCCTTCAATAAAGTCTATAGTTATAACTTCCCAAGCATTATTTGGAACTAAAATAGATTTTAGTAGCCCTGGCTTGGAAATGTGTTCAATCTTAGTTCTCTGACATACCTCACATTACTGTATATGTTCCTGAATCATAAGCTTCATCTTTGGCCAAAAAAAAGCCTTAATCCTCTGGTAAGTAGCTTGAATGCCTGAATGACCCCCTTGTGGTGAATCATGTGAAGCCACAATAACTTTCTGTCTTAGATCACCTTTGTTGCCCACATAAATTCTGTCCTTAAAGTATAAAACTCCTTTAATTCTCTTCCAATCTTCAATCTTATCAGGTTGAATGAGTAAAATAAGAATTTTCTCATGATCTAATAGATCACCTTCATAACTCTGTTCAATATCCTGCACCCAAGTAGGAACTATAACAGTAACTCCCATTTGCAAAAACTCACCAGAATTCATTTGTTGTCTAGAAAGTGCATCTGCCACCTTATTTGTTTTGCCTTTTCTATACTGAATTGTATAATCCAAGCCAAGTAACTTAGTAAGACCTTTCTTCTAGATAGTGGTAGTTAATTTTTGCTCTAATAAGTGTTTTAGAGGCTCATGGTCTGTCTTAATTACAAATGAACCACTCTCCAAATAATGTCTCCAATGAGATACTGTCATTAAAATGGCCAAGTATTTCTTTTCATAAATAGAAAGGTCTACATGTTTTGGCCTCAAAGCCTTACTTAAGTAAGATATAGGCCTCCCTGCTTGAGATAAAACAGCCCCAATTCCTCTGGAACTAGCATCAGTTTCCAGAAAAAATTTCTGCTCAAAATTAGGTAAAGCCAAAACTGGAGCTGAACACATTACCCCTTTTAATTCTTCAAAAGCTGTTCTGGCCTCTACAGACCAATAAAATCCTTCATTTTTCAACATATTTGTTAAGGGCTTACTCAACTCACTATACCCTTTAATAAAATTTCTATAATATCCTGTTAAACCTAAGAATCCTCTCAAAGCCTTCAAATTCTTAGACAAAGGCCACTGTTGCATAGCCTTAATTTTAGCAGGATCAATTGCTACCCCATTAATTGAAATTAAGTGTCCCAAGTATTCTACTTGTTGTTGTCCAAAAAAACATTTACTCATTTTGGCATATAACTTGTTCTTCAACAGAATGTCTAAAACTATCTTGAGATGATGTTTATGATCTACCAAGCTAGGACTGTAAACCAGTATATCATCAAAAAACACCAGAACAAATTTTCTTAAATATACTCCAAACAAATCATTCATCAAAGCCTGAAAAGTAGCTAGAGCATTAGTAAGGCCAAATGACATTACTTTAAACTCATAATGCCCTTGGTGAGTCCTAAAAGCAGTTTTGTGAACATCCTCATCTTTGATTCTAATTTGCCAGTAACCATACCTCAAATCAATTTTTGAAAAGAAAGTAGCTCCATTCAGTTCATCTAATAAATCCTCCACTATAGGAATAGGGAACTTATTCTTAATTGTAGTATAATTAAGTTGCCTATAGTCCACAAAATCTCCATGTTTCATCCTTCTTTTTAATAAGCAAGCATGGGGAAGCAAAAGGACTTTTACTTACTTGAATAAAAGAAGAAGACAACATTTCAGCAATTAGTTTCTCCACTTCAGCCTTGTGATGATGAGCAAATCTGTAGGGTCTAAGGTTGACTGGTTTTGTCTATTGTTTAAGAACAATGGCATGATCATGTTTCCTTCTAGGAGGCATTCCTTTTGGTTCCTCAAATACTTCTTGGAATTCTTGCAAAAGATCTTGAAGTATTGGAGGAGTTGTGCTTTCTACCACTTCTGCATTTAACAAATAAACTTCCCCACTCAACTCAACATCTTTAACAGCTAACTTCTGAAACTTTTCCCCTGTAATTGGTCTGATTAGAGGTAATTTTTTAGTGCCTCTAATAGTAACATTTTCCCCCTCCTTCTCAAAACTAATAGTCTTGGCTTTAAAATCCATTACTATGGGACTGAACTCATCCATCCAATCTACTCCTAAAACCATATCACTACCTCCCAAAGACAACACTCTGAAATCATGTTGGAATTCATATCCTTGCATCTTCTAACTCACTTTATTACTCTTAGCAGTGCTGAACAGTTTCTCACCATTAGCTACTATGATGACTAATGGTTGAGTTTGTACTAACTCCATCCCTTCCTTAGCCCACTTAGGAGTCACAAAACTATGAGTGCTGCTACTGTCAATTAATACATTAATGGGTTTGCCTCTGATATAACCTTGTATTCTTAAGGTTGTATGCCCCACATTACCAGTAATAGAATTAATAGAAATCTCCAAAGCTTCCTTTTCTGGGTCTTCCAATTCACCAGACTCTTCTTCTGTTACTTCTTTTTCAACAGACTCCTCTTCTTCCTCCATACAATTTAATTGTTTGATTTTGCACTGATGCCCAAGAGCAAACTTTTCCCCACATTTAAAACACAAATTGTTAGCCCTTCTATAGTCCATCAAACTCTGTTTTGTATTTGTAGTAGGAGGAACAGACTTAGGCAAAAAATTCTTATTGTCACTGCTCTGTTGACTATTGGTAGGAGTGTAAGAAAAAAAATTACTAGGAGATTTGTACTTCTTCCCTTCAATCTCATTGGCCAACTCATATAATTTAGCTTGCCTGTAAGCTTCAGATAAGTTCTTAGGCTCCAGCACTTTCACTTTATGTTTTAATTCCTCCTTGAGGCCACTAATAAAACTGGACACAAAATAATTCTCCCCCAAATGCATGTTCTGTTGCAACAAGTAAGGCCTCAATTCTTCAAACTTTTCTTGATACTCCTCCACACTACCCTTCTGCATCAATTTATTAAATTCTTCAATAATATCATAATAATTTCTATCACAGAATCTATGACGCAAGTCATCTTCAAATTCATGCCATGTCACTTTATACTTCTGCATAATATAACCATCAAACCAGGTTTCAGCCCTCCCCACTAAATACATAGCAGCTATTTTCAGTTTCTGCTCCTCTAATATTCCAAACAAAGTAATTTTTTTTTGACATTTCCTAATCCAACCCCTAGGATTGTTACCATCAAACATTGGTAGCTCCAATTTTGGTCTGGGTAGTACAAAACTTGTGTTCCCAAAAGAATTCTTAAAATAGCTTCTAATGTCCACATGTTCATCTCCCCCTTAATCTCACTAGATCTACCCATCCGATTTTCTTGTTGCAACCTCGAATTAACAGTTTGATGATCAGCAAACCCCACAGGTTTAGAAGCTAATATCCCTGGTTCATTAGGTTGAAAAGTATATTTCTCATGCTCACTAAGAACCGTAATCAAACATGGTTGTTTACCTCCATTTTTTTCCTGTTTCTCAACTGCTGTTGCTTGATTCTTCACTGACTGAGGTGAATCTTTCTCCTTAGCTGCTTGATTGACCAGCTGTAGGATCCTCTGCAAATACCCTCTGTTCTCAGTCATTCCTTCTTCTAATGTTTGTATCCTCCCTTCCAACTCTTCTTTCTGCCCAGCCCACCAAGAAGGTAAAGTCTCCTCCTTAACCTCCACTGCTGATTGTTCTGGTACTTCTGTGATTCCAGTTTTTTTCATTTTTCTCGTCTTTCCCAACTTGAAAACTTGATTTTGGATCACTAAAACTCAACTCTGATTACCAATTGTTACGTTTTAGGATAGAATTTTAGAAGAATTTTCTAGGGATTTCAGAAATAGAAGAAATAGGTACAGAAAACGTGCTCTCGTTCATTAGATACCCTTAAAAGATTTTGGTACAATTATATATAAACAAATACCACAGCTGTCTAACAAAATAACTGCCTAAAATGCTGACTCACCCCTTCATCCTTCTATCCATCCATTTTGGATTCATATAACCCCAAACCCAAACAAATAAACCCACTGATCTACTTAGTTGGGTCTAAGTAACTAAAGCCCACTTACTCTTTTAACCCAGACCCATTACCGTATAACCCATTTCCTTCTCTACTTCAGTCTCTCCCACTCCAGATATCATTGAAATCCCTAATCCCCTTTGATCCCTAATTCCCTTCTCTCTTTCCCCAATTCCTGCTACTGCCTCCCCAATTTCCTTCTTCGATATTTCCCCAAATCAAATCCTTCCAGCCCTAACTCTCCTTCCATTGTGACATGGTGCTACAAAATTCAAACAGACAGACAGCAAAACTAGAACCTTATTCATCTACAATAATATGAACATGAGCTTAAGAAATAGCAATATAAGCTAAAGTTTGAGAAGAGTTTCCTAGGAGAGGTGGAGTGTACCAATGTCACGTAGAGTGATTGGACAATGTCACAAAATAGTTATGATCTTTCTCAAGGAACAAATTGTTTTCAAATATTTGTTAACTTGTATATATCCCAACACTTGTAATCTGAATATTCAGGGAAGAATTAATGAATTGCTTCTTTATTCCTCAGCCTCTCTATCGTTCTCTGTTTATATTTACTTTACTACAATATTTCAGTGTAGCTGATACTATCTTGCTAAGGCAAACAAAAACAAAGAACGCTATCTATAAACTTCTGTTCACCATGAAAGGCTAACTGATATTATGTTGCTTTGTAGTGATTGCATAATACTAAATCATATTACATGGAATTCGTGAAAAAGTTAAATTCTTCAAACATGCTGTTAAGGATTAAAAGAAACACCTGACCAGATACCCCAGTGTATTCTGAGTCTCTGACTTGCTTTGCTAATTGATCTGAAAACAGTTGCACCAAAGAACCAGAAATGAAACTATTATAGCTTGGATATAAATATATATGTTCGACACTAATATACTTAATATTTTAAAGTTCCTTCATATACTCCAAAGGTTATATCCTCCTGCTTCTCTCCAGATATGAATCGGACATGATTACTTTAAAGAAAGACACAAAACCCATATAACATAGGTTTAAGTCAGATAAACGGCATGAATGCTGAAGGGGAGTTATAGATCCCATACAGAACAAGTCGATACATAAAATGGGAGGGGCTACAGAAGAGGAATTTGAAAAAGTTTGTCCCTTTTTCTTTTCTTTTCTTTTGGTTAGAATGAATATTAGCAATAGGTACCACAAAGGTATAGTAAACAAAGTAACCACACCTATCCCCGCCAGTTTAATACTCCTAGCTTAGGCTTTTCAATCTGGTAAACAAATTGCATGCTCAAATTTTTAAATCCATACGCCCAATCAAGTGAACTATGATATCTCAAATTTGCATTCCAGGAAAAAGAAAAAGAAAAAGAGGAATATGTAATTGTTAGTTCAGAGTGAGCAAGCTTCAGATAAGCAAAAAACCATATATCTATCAGCCCATCGCCTGATTTCATCACGACTTCAGTCTGAACACACTGCACACAATTTCCAAGTAAGTTTCTTTCTAAACACCCTAACAAGTCTTTTATCTAACATTGTTTACATGCCGGAATGTAGCAGATAAAGGGTCTCAACTATATTTTCACAAAATCAGACCATCACATGTCTCTTGCAAGCAGAAAGAATGATTGAATTCATCCCTACAGCCCATCAGTGAAACAAGCGAAAAAAGGCTCTTTGAAACAGGGGGAAAATTTAAGGCTGTTTTCAGGTGTCAACATCAAATACATCCATCCTGCAAATAAGCATCAATGTCAAGATAAAATTACAGTCAAGTCTAGATGAAACCACGGTTTGGTAGGAAACTCAAAAGATGCGCTGCTTTAGAATATCTAATGACAGTTTTGAATTCATCTCTTTTGAATAATTTGATGCTAAACCAACTCAGAATGACGGGGCACTCATACAATCAAGCCTGCCATGTCGAACTTCAAATTCTTAATTAGGAAGAATGATCAAGAACCAAAAATCAATTCCGTTGGACCATTTTAGGTGGTACAAAATGGTTGAGTGTAGATAATAGTAATTTAAGTCAAATATTCCCCCAATTCAATTGCCCAATGGCGGGCAAAGGTAGCTAGTTTCTGCTATTCCAAAGAAAATAGAAAAAAATAAAAAACCAAACAGAAGCATCTTGTCTAGAACTTCAATTCTAGAATAGATAAATAACAGTACCTTTAATCAAATGCATATGGGTCATCTGCATACGGATTTAGAGAACCTTCTGAAAACAAATCACCGATATTTGTAGCAAACGGTTGACTTCCCTTAGTTCCCTTCATGATGAATGTATTAATAATGAGTTTCTCTAATGTTGGGAAAAAAAATAACACTGTGATTTAAATGCTCAAGAAACGATCCTAAAATATTTGGGCTTCAGCATTTTTCTAAAGGACGGAATTATTAGTTGCAGGCAATACTCTATTAATAACATACTGGAATTTGTTTCCTCTACTGTTTCTAACGGCATCCACTAAGAAGCTAGACATATGAGCATGACCATACGTATAAATCAAACAAGAACAAAAATCTCAACTCATATGTTCAGTTAATTTGGCGATGTCATTGTTAGATGTCAGAACTGTGAAGGGGAAGGTATTAAAGAATGAAAATTTAACTGTTAATCCCCAAATGACGTAGCTAGTTTTGGTTTTTCTTTTTTCTCCTGCTAAAATATAAGTCTTTAGAATTTGAATACCTGAACAAAACTTCCAGCATTATTAGTTTTTGGTGTCCGAACCTTCTTTTTCCTTGGATCCTGATGTAAACATCAGACAAGGAAGTTCAGCATCGATTGTGTGTAAGTGTATACAAACTTTTCATGGACTTAAAATGGTGTTAGGTACATACCTCAAATAAGACTGTACTTCTTTTTCTTCGTTTTGTGATTGTTCTTCCATTGGAAGTTTCAACTTCATATTCATGGTGGGTTACCTGCCAATGCCATAAGGTAAGATGAAGGAGGTTTTGAGGATGTGTCAGGACCCGCTAACCAAATATTTATCCTTTTTTTCCCAACCTAACCGCAAATGGGGAAAAAGAAGGGCCAACAGAATTATTTTACCTTCTTATGATGCTTAGGAATGCTCATTACACTTCCTGTGTTGGTATTTTCTACTTTCTTCAACAATTTTGACACTGGTGTTTGTGTTACACCTGCGAATGGTGATTGCTGTAAACAATATAAAAACACATTTAAGGTGCCTTATATAATATGGCAATTTCAGTAGACAATACAGAAAGCAATCACTGTGACATAATTATTATTAAAATTTAGTCAGGGAGTCAAAATTATTTTTTTGCTCTCTGTTACCTTTTCTTCTTCCTCTGGCCTTACAAGAGCATGTTGAGTTCTTTTCTCAAAACCAGAACCATTCTTCTTAACTGAAGGAATGGAATAATCCTGCAAAGATCCATCAAATTGATGGCTTTTAGATAATTGTAAAATGCCACTTGACATTTTAATAATGCTTAACGAAAGATTCCACATCTGAATCCCACTCCAGGACAAATCATACAAAATAATGTTTCTGACCCCAAATAACTTAAAACAAGAAATAGATCTGTCTGCCAAATATGCATGTTTTTGTGAGTGTTTTAGTGTATGTTGCCTTTGTAGAAATAAATATTTCAGCATAAACTCTAAGGTATGGTCCTCACTGCCACAGTGGTATTTGGTGACATACATGACCACCTACTCTATGATGCTTCATTACTACCCTCCATCTGCTTTTGCTTCCCTTTCCAAAAGCATAGATTCGATCAATCATGCAAAGAAATAGTTCCAACCTTGCTCAATACACGATGAATTTAAATCCAGTAAATATCAAAAATTGGAAATTGTCTTTATAAGACAAACACTATATAATGAAATATTTCGGTATAAGTGATCATTGCGGAGCCTAGCTATACACATTGAACAGTGGAGGTCAGTACCGCTCATTTGGAAAATATGAAAAGGTTAATGTGACAGTTTGCACAGGAAGAGAATGAAAGGGAGCAATATATCAAAGAAACAAACCCTTCTCGAATTCACTTCTTGTTCCTCTTGTGGCTTGTCACTCATGACCTTCCACTGCAGTTGTAATAGAGCTCTCTGTCTGTCTTCCTACAACACATTAACATAGATCAGAGAAAATATTATGACATTTAAATAAAAGAAGGAAATACGTACTTTGGTCTTCTGGAGACTTAACTCCTCCTGAAGCTTTTTGCACTCATCTTCAAATTGACATCTTAATGCTTTCATCTGAACTTCATGCTCATTCCTAAGAGATGTTGTTTTCTAGACCAATTATTAAACTATTAGTATTACCAAATTAAATACATTTGATACTAATATGAATAATTCAAACTTAAAGCTTAACAGTGTAGATACCTTTCTCAGTTCCTCTTCTACCTGAAGTTGGGAACGTTTTAGCTCCTCATGGTGATCAGCTTTGAGATTCTGTTCCTTTCTATCATGCTCCTGCTGAAGACGAGTGATCTACAAAACAAGAAAGACATTAGGATTTACAGCCTGCAGTATCATAGAAGTGACTAATGCATCCTACATGCATAAAGAGATAACAAACAACTTGATCTTAAGTTTGCATCAGTTTCTAGAGCCATACTACGGTAGCATTTTCCTCTTGAATGGTCAACAACTGCAGCCTTAATTCTTCTTTGCACTCTACAACCTTCTGGTCGCATTTCTGTTCCATTTCTCCAACAACTTTGTCAACCTGAAAGATTAAGTGAGAACCACTATTTTCTGCATCTAGCAACACATAAAAATCATAAGCTAACCTTCTCTTTTTCTAGTTTGACAATCTCCTGCTTCTCCATGTCATATTTCCTCCTCATGTCATTAATAGCCTGAGCAATGTCCTCAAAATTATTAATGTGATTGCAATCTTAAAGGATTCACCTCACATTGAAGGGAAAAAAATGATACCTGATCATTTCTCTGAGATATCTCTTTCAAGTGTCTAGATAACTCTAGCTGCTTACTTTCTAGCATCACATCATACTGCTTCCTAGCTTCCACAAGTTTACTTTCAGCTGTTTCCAGAATTGCCTGATTCTGCAAAAACATTCAGAATCTTAAGTTTATTTCAAAGTCTGCATAAGAGTTTCAAATGTACATATTCTATTACTGTTTTCTAAACCTCAGAAATTTGATCTTCCAGCTTCTTTTCCCTTTCTTTATATTGCAGGATAAGCTGTTCTTTTTCCTCTACCATGATCCGCAGCTGACTAACTTGTGTCTCCAAATAAACTTCCTGTGCCTCATGTTTCTCCAGTTCCTTTCCCAAGTTATCAATTTCTTCTATTTTTCCATGTATCTCTGCTTGCATTTTCTCTGTATTATCTTTATTCTCCATTTCCAAAGCTGAAATTTTCAGCATTAGATCTTGCTGCAGGACAAGAAAATTGGCTTATGTTAGCAATAAGGATAGCTCAAATAGATAAAATTTGAATACATATTTAAACCATTTTATTCTCGGATGATCTTGAACTTTCGGATAGTCTGTCAATCTTCTCCTCCAGTTCTGAAATCAACTTTTCTGTTTCAATCTTCTTTGATACTAGATTTTCTGCTTCAGACTCCAACTTCTGGATTCTCTTTTCAGCTAAATGGCATTCTTCTGAAAGCTGTGCCATAGCAGACTCTTGGGCTTTCTGAAGTTCAATGATCTTACTGTTTAACTGCTGGTTAACCAATTCTAATGCATCCCTTTCCGATGTTATGCACAAGAATTTATCATGGAGTTGCTCATACTTCTTTTGGGCATTCTCAGCTGCAAGATCTCTCTCCTGTTGGACTAACTTAAAGCAAGTGTCGTAGAGAGAGTTTAGTGTATCAAACTTGTTATTAAAAGTCATATTTTGTACATCCAGCTCAACCAACTGTGCAGACAACAAAGCAACAAAACTTTCAAGATGTTTTATCTCCAGGAGCAATACTGATAGCTTTTTAGCATATTCATTATTGCTCAACAGAAGATCACTGTTCTCTTTCTCCAAATTCTCCTGGGTGGTTAGCAAACATTTTATCTTATCCTCTTTTAATCTCAGCTCAAGCTGAACTTCTCCCATTTTAGAGTTCAAAATCTCAGCAGCCTGCTTATTTGAAATTACGGTTGCTTCAAATTTCTTTATTAGAGCATCTGCATGCAAAAGATTACACGAGGATGCTTTTAATGAATCAAACACTATGTTTCATGGCTAAAAGTTGCACCTAAAAAACAATCAACATGCTCCAGTAATGTTTTCTTCAATCAAAAGGTCCCCTATCCTAAGGGATATGTTAGAAATTGACCTATTTAAAATTGAAATGTCTTTGTTTTTTCCTCTAAACATGGGAGTACTAGCCTTAAAATATGGGAGTACCAAGCATCCTAAGGTCAAATTGGTAAGAAACTTATTCAATGGTTTTGTTATCTTGCCAATCAGGATCATTAGCAAGACTGATATGATAAGTACTAGGCTCAATTTCACAAGAGCCTTAATGATAATTAGAGCATGATTATCATTATTAAAATAAAATTACCAATTATTAACCTTTTCTATCTTAATGTTTTAGGTAGAATCTGCCCCTAGATTGATTCAAGTAACTTATTTGTGTAACGCAGGAAAGATTGAAATATGAGGCATGTAAGTTATGTATTCATGAAGAAACTTCAAACATCTTCCAAGACATTAATCTAGAATCGAAGCTATATATTCATGTGAAATTATCTAATAACTAATGCAATCACTTAGTACTCTTTCAGAGAAAGCCTCTATACCAACTCAGCCAACTAATGTGCTCACCTTTTTCCTCAATGAGGTTCTCAGTTTTGCGCTGTTCATCCCTGTAAAACCTATCATTTTCCTCTTTCTCAAATTTGAGTTCTTCTATTTTCTTTCCACCTGCATTGGAAATATCAAATGTCCAACACATTGAAGAATGATAAATCACATAATGCAATATGCTCTGCTCTTGTTCTTATTAAAAAAAATATATCAACAATCATCACGAATGAAGAATGGTGATTTTGCGCGAAGAAAATAAAAGTAACTCACTGTTTCTGATAGTTTCCTCAGCAGAACTTAACTTCAATGAAAGGTCATCCAATTGCTCATTCAGTGAGTCTATCGCTTTTGAACCTTCAGCCACTTTGACTTCGAAAAATTCCTCATCTTTCTCAGCTATTTAAGAACATAAATAAAAATACTTAAAACAATACATGGTATTTCATAAATAAAAGGGACATTGAATTGCATATGTATAAAACACCTACCATTCTGAACTTGATTGGCTAAATGATGTAATGTTTCTGTGAGTTGATCACAAAGAGTCTTAGTTGAAGAGAATTTGGACTCCAGACCTTTCCAGAGCTTCTCATCTTCCTTTTGCTTTACTTTGAGCTTAGCATTCTCGTTGAAAGCATTCTGTAACTTTTCCTCCAATATCCGGATATGGTCCATTGATTTCTTCAGCTTGCAATTCTGCAGTTGTTGAAATGATTGGTAAAATAGCACTAAAAATGAAAATAATAGATCTTCATTATCTCGTGAGACTAAACCATATTATATGATTGAAGAACAAACAAAATCAAGAACAGTAAAGAGTAAAAGAACTCTTGAATCTGCATGTTTTGCACGAAGCTGAATGAACATCAAAGAGGAGGAGGAAGAAGAAGTCCGAAGTAGAGAGAGAGAATACCGCCAGTTCGAGATCGGTCTTCACAGAAGCTTGCTCTTTAACAAGTTTCTCTAGAAGCAAACAAAACACGCCAAGAATTATAAAAAAAATGTTCGGATCGTTCGATAACTTACATAACTAGAGCAATTTTTTTATTAAAACCTGCAGTAAGTTTCAAATTTGCGAAACTTCCCAGAGAACTTGAATCAGAAGACGGGCGCGAAGAGAATTGGAAGGTTTTCGCGGCTCCAGAGCCGGATCGTGATAAGGATTTGAATTGATCAAAGTTTTTTACGCTTGGAAACCCTAGTCTCTGCATGATCAAAGATCGAAGGTCAAATATGCCAACAAAACTCAGGAAATTTCGCTTCAATCTCTTTCGACAGCTCTCCCTCTGAAAATCCGAATGTGTTCTGAGAGAGAATATTTGAAAAATGGATTAGGCGCGAAGGAGAGCTGGTATTTTAAAGGACGGGGTAAGTCGGTTAACGCGGCAGTTTAATTGCATGTGCCCGATCCTATTGCAACGCTATGCAGCGTCTGCTAGCAACCTGTATTACTCTTCAATAGTGTATCAATGTTACTATATAAACTCACTAAGAACTATATTAGATATTAGATATTTTTATTATAAAAACGATTAGCTTAATCTAATAATTCTATAATTGTAATTTCGAACCCATTGAATGACCTCAGTAATTAAAATGAATATTGTTCTCTCATGAAATTTTAAATTCGAACAACTACATCTGCATAGTTAAAAAAATTATAAACAAAAACAATTATTTACATATATTGTTTCACCTATTATTTGCATAAAAAGAGACTCGTATTAAATAATATAAAAATAAACTTTATTATCCCATAAAACTCGTATTAAATAATATAAAAATAAACTTCATTATCCCGCTAGTTACATATATGATTTCAACTATTATTTTCGAATGTTATTATATTTAATTATTATAAATTTAGATTTATATAAAATTTTAAATTATACATACAATTATCTCATACGAACTTGTATAATTTAATACTGTAGTTACAGTATTATTGAGGTATCCGAAAGTTCATAAAAAACGATTGCTTAATTACAGTAGAAAGTCCATTAGTTACCACAAAATATACAAATTCTGAAATCAGTATTGTAATTAAACAATTATTTTTTTCCCAAAAGGAGAATAATTCTCATTCTGTGAATGTAAAACAAACTATTCAAAAACTGGAGTATAAATTATAATGTAAGAAAATGTGAAAACAAAAACATGGATTATTTTCCTGCTTCTTATAACTCCAACTTCTGCAGAAGGTATCGACAAATATCAATATTAAAAAGGGAAACCAAAGAGGATCAAATAATCTAAGTAATGGATCAAACGCAGTAAGCAATCATTAGTGTGCTCTTATGTGAACTCAATTATATGCATCAGGGAAAGCCTTCATAATCATTCAATTCTCCCCAAACTTTTAGCTCAACTTCTTCCCACGACTCTGCTGTTCTAAGTTCCTTCCATACTTTAAATAGAGTAGCCAATACATTCTCATCATGCAATATACAGAAGCACCTGTACATCCAAATATCCCATATAAGTTTTGCAGCTCTTAATGGCCTTATGCTGAACTTGTCCCCCCCCCCAAAAAAAAAAACTGGCAAAACGTGGATATGGCATTTGAAAAACACAACATATATCAAGGGAAATAAAGTAACGATAATTGCTTACATGGCATGGTACGAAAGTCGTCCAAACTTATCATCGCCACCGTCCATTGATCCTTGCTTTGGTTTTTTTATCATCAAAGGAAGTTTATAGCTTTTCAGAAACTGCTTAAGCAGAGTGGAATTCCCTCTAAAGACATCTAAATGCAAGGGTATCAAGTCATAAATAGAATCACCTGAAATATCCAATTACTCACCGTTCACTGTTTGTGTACTTTATTTCTTTCATGAGAAATGACACAAATTAAGGGGGGGGATATCGACTTCATTTTGTTCTAAATCATGGGAAAAAGTTGCTTTGCTTAGAACCAGAATGTTGATAAGTTCTGTAGTTTAAATATTTAATAGGTATAAGCAAATATCATATAGTTCTTGAAGATTTCATTTGCATTTATCTCACATTCTCACTACATGTTCATTATATTTACACAATCCAATTTTTTTGGAAGGTGCAGTTTAGTTTCTGTTAGCATCAGTAAACCCTCATGTCTAAAGCAAAGCAGGAAGAAGGGGTGAATGATTTATTAATGAAAATATAGCTCTAATCATAGCAAAGCCGAAAGTCGAACTAAAGAAGTGCACTCACCTACACAAAGATTGCTGAAATCAAGGATGTAACTAGGGCGCCAGGATTTTACTTCCCCACCATTACTATGCCCATTCGCTGAACCATTATTTTTCGGTGTAGGAATTCCATTTGAGCAAGATTTACATTCCATATAAATATTGTCATCCATAATATCTTTGTGTATCCAGGACCAAGGCTTACCGACTTTTTTCTTGCCATTTTCCTATCAATAATCAATGGCATTAGGTATAATTGTACAAGAAATTCAGCCCCATATGATTAAGAGGAAAACGAGGTAATAAGATAAAGGATAGAAAGCTACAACAAACCTCATAAATGGAAAGCAGCTTCATAAAATCATCTGGAAGGTATGCGTCAACTTTCTCTATAAGTGTTTTAGGAATCGGACCTCCTCTATAAATTTAGTGTAGAGTTTCAGAGGCATTGTATAACCAAACGTTATGATAAAGTAAATACAGTAAAAGGGCTAAGAAAATACTTTATCTAAGAAAATGTTATATGCTGATCAAGTAATACACTAACACCCCCGGTGAATGACGATAGAAATAACAGCATTACAATCTAGCAGTTTGAGATGTATTGATACGGATGCACGGATACAAGAACAAGAGTAGCTCAACCACTCCAAAAAGGAAAATAAAGACCAAAGGCTAATTTCTAGGTGGCATAAATGATTCCCACAGTAATGATAGAAGCACAGGTCAATTTCTGTGTGGTTGGTGTCATTCTCAAGAATCCTGGAGCAAGCAATGTTTTGAGGAAAAAACACAGACACCAAGTTTGGACGGACAAAAAGTAACAAACACAAGATGATTGGTTGCAAAAATAAGAACATTTCTGTCAAACTGGTGATTGTAAAGGTTAATCAAGGATCACCATTAACGAATTAGATAGTATACCGATCACTCAATTGGCTGGAAGCATTCTTCTTCTTGTAAATTAGAGTTCTCACAAAGATTTTCCATTCAACTGGAATATAAGATTCGTTGGAAATAAACTCCATGTCCATGCCATTAGCAAAGGAAAACCTCCTATTTTGTTCAAACTCTGAAAGAGCTGAATTACTGAAGGAAGGATAGGGCAACATATGAAGGTTTCGTAGCTGCTCTCCTAAAAAGGAAGCTAAGTTAAGCACATCTTCCCATGGCAGTACATCTCTTCTGCAATAGAAATTTAATGGAAGATTAACAATTGCACCAATCTAGTTTTGACATCTTCGGTTCTTGAAGTAAAGGTTCATTAAAAAAATAAGAAATTGAAAAGTAAGGTCTTACAGTTTAGCAAATATCTTTCCTTTGCAACGCTTTGTTATAAGGTAAGGCAGAAAAATAATAGTGGATTCTTCTGAATTGTCTGGTTCATATTCTGGCGACACATCTTTTTTGTATTCAAACAGTTTCTTGCTCCGAACACCAAAAGGAAAAGCATCACCTGTAAGCTTCTCTGGAATCAAATCACAGTTTCTAATCACACTCGGAACTGTTTTACCATCCCAAGAATCAATTTTGTAAGATCCATTTTCCAAGTGCAGAATCCCACTAGCCAATACATTAGGAATGTGATTTTTCAGAGGAGAGTTAACTTCAGAAAGAGCGCTGTAGAATTCAAGCTGCAAAGAAAGAAACGTAAAACTTAATGTAAAACACTCATGGCCATGAGGTGTAGAAAATAAATAAACATATATGGCTACCTCAGTGCCTAAATCAAATATTGAAGATGACAGCCCTCCTTCAGCAAAGATTTTTATCACATATTCATCCATTACATAGACCTGTTGCAGAATAACTTGAACAGTCAGTTGGAATACAATGATTCTCTGTTGATAACACGATTGAGTTTATAAATCTGTTTGGTCATCAACAGATGACATAAAGCTTAGATCCTTTAGCAACAAAACTCATATCAACATGCTAAGTAAACAACAGTCAGATCACATGTTACAGAAGACCGTTGTTTGAATGCCACCATTCCCTACTACTCCTTATCAAGCTCTAAGCATTTATGTCAAAAGTTAATGTGCCCAGTAGAGTATGGTTATTGTGACACTAGTGAGAAACAAGCCTCTCTACAAGGAAATGACAAATTCTGGAATATCCTTGAAGTGATTTCTCACATGCAGTTCCCCTAGCTTTCCACTCGTGAAAGAAATAAACTTACAGGATTGCTGCCCGTTCCAACAGGAAGCTTTGCATTCTCATTGGGAAAAGGCAAATTGTGAAAGAAGCAGATTTTCCTCGCACAATCCAACCATTTATCTGCATTTAGTGCAAGACACGCTCCCTAAGACAATTAGCAAAAAAGTCAATAATATTAAGTTAGAAACAAAAGAACTTTTCAACAATTTTTGTACTTTCGCTTAGTCAACTCATCCATGGAAAGGGAAAGAGAAGATGAAAATAGACTGGCCTGATTGGAAGAAGATACTCCTTCTGTAAGAAATGTGACGTACCTTCCAAATCATCTCTCTCATGCCTGGATTTCCAAGCCAAAGCTTGGACAGCCATTCCCTCAACTCTCGCGGCCCTATGGAATTGTCCAAGTTCCATGGAGAACTAAAGTGGTCCAGCTCACTATTCCGGAACATGGCCAAGTAGTTTATATCATAAGAAAAATCGTGTTCCCATAAATTATAGCTTCCATTGGAAGTTTCTTTTCCATTTTCACTCTCTTGAGATCTTAAAATTCTGACATCTTTCTCATTCTTTGTCAGGTCTGAGTACTTAAAATTGTCGTTTTCATTGGCCGTGTTCTTCTCGATGATCTCTAAACTGCCTTCATCAAGAGCAAGCAAACCAGCACGGCAAACTCCTCTATGACAGTAACCTGGAGCCATATCTAGACATACAAATTCGAAGTTTCTAGAATTCACAAAATTTTGTGTCACTGCAATGGTTGTTTCCAGATTCAGGACACAGTGCCACCATCCGCTGGGAACAAAAATAGTTTCCCCAGGCAGTTGGGTACACTCAATTGGCTTGTTTTCATTTGCCAGAAGTGGATAGAAGTCAAGCCACCACTGTACACAAGCAAATAAGGATCTATAAAATGTGAAGAACTAGGAGATAAAACACAAGAACTGGGATATTAGAACTATATACCTGCAATGACGATGGAGTATCGATGCTAATATCACCATCATCGTCATCTACGTTCACTGTAACACCCAATGGAACTGTTCCTGGGGGATACAGTGCCCATCTGTCCAAAAATATTAACACATGACATCCTGATCCTGGATGTCAGCTCTTCAACTACAGTGTAGGAACAAAACAGACTATCCTATGCAACCAAAAATAAATTGTCAACCAGTTTGTGCCACGGGTGAGAGGGTGATTTGGTTTGGTCAAGTTTTTTGGATATTTTGAACTGTTTGTTTTAGTTCAATTCGGCTCAGTTTTTTCATATTAATTTAGTTTTTGTTTATTTTACTCTATCTCGATCAAATGGCTTTATTTTATGATTTTTTATAATAGTTTCAAATTTTTGTTTCATAAATATTTCAAAAAGAAATAATTTTTAAAGTAAATAAAAATACTTAATAATTATTATATGATATTTTAAGTTGTTTTTAGTATTTGAGATATAAAATACTTTTTATATGATAAAAATAAAAATTAAATAAAAATAGAATTCAGTTCGGGTAATCACAGTTTTTAAACTTGTGAATCATTAAGGGTCTAAATACTATGGTTCAATTTGGTTTTCGGTTTATTTGATTTCTTTGCTCACCCCTATTTTGTGCAACGGTATAAGGTCAAACTGATAAAATACGACATTCAATAAATCTGCCAAAGGATATTCACATATGAGTTCAATGAACAGATGTGTACTACGTTGAGCTTGATTGAGTTGCATCGTGTAAAATCGAAAATCATCAACATGAAAGCATTTTATAAATACGGAGGTAATTTATCAAAATACCTTTTACGACCACAAAGAAGAGTATTCCAGGCACTGGTAAGCGCTGGATCAACATGCCAAGAAGCACCAGACCTCGCTGGCCCAATAACAAGCCATCGGAATGGTGGTCTTCTATCTTTCTCTAAAACATCAAAGAAGTCTTCTTGAAATATTTGGGGCACAGTGTAATCTTTCAACAAGCCAGGTGCAGATTCTCCAAACTGCAAGGCAAAGGATCAAAGCACTTCCAAAGCTATCCAAAAAGGTCATTATCTGATTAACTATAATCCAGCACTTGAGGGGGAAAATGTATGAAGTTTATGACTACCATAGGCTCACCTTGTCATCAAAAATATAAAGAGGATCCTCATCATGTTGTTGTTTCATGTAAGATACGTAATCCTTGAATTTCATTTTTAAAGAGGAAGAAATCTTGAATGTTATATCTCCATATTTGGGCACAAGCTGGTCGATTGTCCAAGCACTCCTTGCAGGCCAAGTATCAGCCAATCCATTAAGCAAGACCTGAAATGTCATTCAGCAAGAACCCCATGCAAAAAAGCATGCTATTACAGTAGTTGATGAAGAGCGAAATATATGCAGATATGGTGCAACTGAATTTTTCTAATTCATGAAATTTAAATATGCAGTGAAAGTCTAAAACCGTTACAGTCATTTGAAGTAGTGAGTACAACTTGATGTAATTAAGAACAAACATAAAATTATAAAAATATATATCATACCGGTTTAATTCCATCATATTCGTGATGAAATTGTTCCGCAGATATGTTTTCTATTCTTTCAACATTTCTATCGTCAAAAGAAAACTCGTCTAATGTAGTATGGCACCTATATAATCTTCTGTATAAGAATGAAGAGCTAAAACCTACCCAAAAGAAAAAGATTAGTCTAATCAATACTATAATTTCCAAAATAGAGAAGCATTCGTTTCCGGTAAAACAAAAGCATGAAGCTATATACCATCAAACTGCAATGGTTTTCTACAAACTTCTATATAGTCATTGGGCAAATTCTCTCTGAATTGCAAAATAAAAAATAAAATAAAAATTAATGAAATCCCCACAAAATTAGATAAGATGCTAAAAATTGAGTCAAAGGGAAATCAGAAATTTATATCTCAGTTGCAAGAAGCAATACAAATGCAGTGTTGTCTTTTTCCAGGAGCCTTTGTATTGAATTTGAACACTGACTTTCTTGAGACAAGCACTCATCCAAAGCGGCTCTTCATTGCAGAATATATACATAAAACTAACAGATCCAAACACCAAAAGAAATAAATAAGAAATTTCAATCAAAAGAGATGATATTCAAATTGAGAAAATAATAATTGGAAAAGTAAAGACGAACAGAGAGAGAGAGAGAAAAAACAAAACTAAAAGAAAAAAGAAAAAAAAAAGAAAGGACCTGCTAACACAAGCGAGACGAGCGAGGTCTGGAGGAGTGAGATGATCTAAGATGGAGCAAATGACTTCGTCGGGGAGATATTTGAAATCGCCGAGGGAGTCGGATCGCCGGTCTTTGGTCGGGGAAATATTCGATTGATGAGGCATTTCCATTGAACAACGGAGAGAATGGGGGATCGATCGAGGCAAAGTAGCAGCAAACAGGAAATAGTAGTAGGAAATAAGGAAGGTTCAAGCGAAGAACTGGTTTAGTAGTGTCGTCCTTGAGACATTTTTGCTTTAAAGAACGCAGGAACTGCTGCCACGTAGCCAACTTATTTCTTTCGCGCGCTTTTGCCGTTGCTCCTCAGCGTATGCCCACGTGCATTTACCTTTTCCTCTTTTCTCTTATTTCTTTTCATTAATTTTCTAACATTTTTTTATAGGAACTGTTGATTTTATTAAAAATAGAAATTATCTAAATTAAAATAAAAATTTATAATCACAACAGTAAACTAAAAAAAAATATTTTTCTATTACAAGAAAACTAGCAAATTGAGATCAGGAAAATGTTAAAAAACTTAACCAAATAAGATCTAACAAGAGATAAATACGAAAGATCTACAGTTTCAGCTAACGAATCACGAAAGGGAATAAAGCTATTGAGAGACAATCACCAAATCGCAAATCAGAATCGAGTGATGTGAAAATACTATCCACAAACGCAAATTTCATATCCAAATTCAATCTGATAGTCCAAAATAGGAAATATCATCATGATAACAAATAAGTGACATATTTTTAATCGTGACAATATTAAATCTAACCCTAAAAAAATAAAACTAAAACCACAACTAAACAACTGAAAATATATTATAAAGATATAGAAAAATATGTCATTAAGGTAAAATAAGACATGTCAAAATAACATAATTATTAAGAATAAAAAATAATAAAAAATAAAGATATATTGTGATAAAGCAAAGAAAAAAATTAATGAATATCAAAGGTCGATAATTAATATCAAGATTGATTTCGTTGTCGTTCACAAAAATGAAAAAAAATAACAAAAAAATATGAAAAAAAAGAGCAACCCCTAAAACAAAGTTTTCTAACATTTTTCTTTACTTTAATTTAATAAGTTTGGCTAAAACAAAATATTAATGAAAAAAAGGCTTCGTTTAGCGTGACGTGTTTTATATTACTTAAACTCATTAAAATGAAGCCCGACGTAGAGCGCGACTTTTTATTATTTCATCAACAAAAAAAACCCATAAATATTGATGGTAAAAACATTAATAAATGAAACGCAAACATTTTCCCCTTTATTCTTTCACTTGAAAACATCAGCTCTCGCCTTCCCTGTATCTGTATAAGACAACATTCTTAATATTTAGAATTCAGTCATAGCTTAACCTTTTTTCATTCCCTCTCAAATCTCAACCTTCTTTGTCCACTATACGCATACAATACAGGACATAACTAAAGAATCTCAAACTGAAAAACATCTAGGTAAGCCTGGTGGCTATATCCTTGACCGCAACTTTACATCCCTGCGATCAGTGGTTGCTGTGAGTTGATCCTCCTCTTTCTAAGGCGCTCTGCAATAATGAAGGCAAGTTCAAGTGATTGAGAGGCATTCAACCGAGGGTCACAGTGGGTTTGGTAGCATGAACTCAAGTCATCAAATGTAACGGTCCGGGATCCCCCAATGCATTCTGTCACATTTTGGCCTGTCATCTCAAGATGAACACCTCCGGGATGGCTTCCCTCTTGCTCGTGCACATCGAAGAAAGCTCTCACTTCAGCCTGTTAAGAATGGATGTCAATTAAGAGCCAGCTAATAATTGGCAGCCATATAGAAGTAGGAACGAAACATCATTCAAAGTGCTGTCAACCTAAATTGAGGATCATCAAGAGAGGTATAAAGAGATTTTATATTGCAAAATGTGTTTTGAATCAAATCATGAGATAGGGAAATATGACCACCAACCAATCTGAAAACAAAGTCTTACCTAAAATTATTTTAATCATGCTTAACTAATCTCGTTTTATATTTTGGTCCAAGCAACTTTAAGAATTAGTCTCTTTCTCACCTACCCCACGTCCCCACCATAATATATTTGACTTCAAAACTCTCCTCCAGGAAAAATGCAATGATTTTTTATTTGAAGATACACAATGCAACCACCCAAAATGATTGATTTGATTTCTTTACATCATGAACGCCATAATGAGTGAGCCATCAATTTTAAAATCAAGTTTATTGCCTGAGTTGAGCAAATTCCATTAACCCATCAATGCCAATATGTTTGACTTCAATGCTAAAATCAAGTTTATCTCCATACTTTCGTTAATTGTATTTAAAATAAAGCACTTACTAATAACCATTCCGCATTTACTCTATGACAAGATGCAAACAAATTACGGTCCATCTTTTTCTAGCATCAGAAGTTAGTCTGTCATAGTGGCAAACAATGTCTATACAAGTTATGGTCCCCAATTAACATGAACCTTCCAATTTTGTGAATAAGGATATAACTGCACCATCTTGTAAGTAATTTCATATTATAATGAGAAAGGATTAGTTGGACTAGCTAATTTATGGGGACCCTAATTCAAATGTGTAAGTGAATCACACAATGCCACCAATGAATTATCAGTAATATTAGTTCAAGAGGTTAAGTAATGATTAACATACCCTTATGGAATCGAAGGGGCGAGTTTTGAGACCACAAGGAGCCTTGATGGTGTTTCCGTGCATAGGATCACTGACCCAATTGACGATTTGCCCAGCAAGGCGCACTGCCCTGATTAGATGAGGAAGCTTCACTCTCATGTTTTCAGCACCCATTCTTGTGATCACTGTAATCCTTCCAGGTTTGTTTTGAGGGTTCAAAATCTCAATCAGCTTCACTAGCTCATTTGGATCCATCTTATCGCTCACCTGCAGCAAAATACCCTACCTGTTAGTCATCTCACTCTCACCGATTTAAAATAAAAAAATATTTATCCGAAAAAAGGAATGAGCATAAAAACTGCACACTTGTCAAAATAGGGCTTGCATTACAAGTATTTCAATTAATTACCAATTGAGTCTTATAAGATACATAATTCAACGCATGTTTCGTTCTTAGACAAGTTATGCAACTCGAGTATTTGAAAACATTAGACTTAGACATAATTACCTTAATTCCAAGGGGATTAGCAACTCCTCTCAAAAACTCAACATGAGCACCATCCAACTGTCTTGTACGTTCCCCAACCCATAGGAAATGAGCAGAACAGTCATAGTAACGGCCAGATGTAGAATCAAGACGAGTAAGCGACTGTTCATATGGCAAGAGCAAGCACTCATGGGAAGTCCAGAAATCAGTTGTTGTCATGAGAGGATGGTCAACTGTAAGTCCAGCTGCAGCCATAAATCCAAGGGCCTCATCCACACGACTTGCAAGTTCTCGGTACCTACCTCGAATCAGAAAAGGGTAAATAGATTTGAAAACTTTAACCTTCTAAAAAAAGAAGAGCAACAATAATATAAAAGAAAACAGCCCAAAACAGAATAACGAGCAAAAAAACTAAATTTAAGAAGAAAATCCACGTGATTTCCGTGTCAGAGTTACAAAGTTTAGAATCTATCATTTATGCACATGCCAAAACAGGGGCAGAAAGCAAACGGTAAAAATCTAGTGGATTCTGAATTGAACAATAAAAAAACAACATAAGGATACCTTGGAAATCTAACGAGTAATACTCGACGCCACATCCATATAAATTAAAAAATAAATTTACTCAACAAAACGGATGTTCATATTCAAACTGTGGTTCAAGTTACAGATCATGACAAAAACAAGTGGAAATTGAATACTGGATCAAAGAAAATATCACACCCAAAATAGAAAAAAGGTAAAGTCAATTGAACCGGGATCGAAATATTTTACCTATCTCCTTGCTCACTGTGTTCCGTGAAGTCCAAATTCCATTGAGTAACCCTTTGCATGGCAGCATAACCTCCCGTGGCAAAAGCTCTCAAAAGATTCAAAGTAGCTGCTGATTGACAATAAGCTCGAATCATTCTCTGGGGATCAGGAATCCTTGACTTTTCATCAAAAGCATCCCCGTTTACATTATCTCCTCTGTAACTCGGCAGCTTCACTCCATCCCTTTCCTCGAATGACTCCGATCTCGGCTTTGCAAATTGCCCTGCCATTCTCCCTACCTATCTAACAAAAACAGAAATATAAGCCGACTCTGAAGCAAAAACAATGGGGATAAATGTTGAATTGTGAGGTAATTTTTTTTTTTTTTAGTTTTGACCTTGATAACGGGCATTTGACCACCGAACATCAAAACGGCACCCATCTGAAGAAGGATCCGGAAAGTATCACGAATGTTATTGGCGTTGAACTCTTTGAAACTCTCAGCGCAATCTCCGCCTTGTAACAGAAAAGCATTTCCCATGGCGGCTTCCCCGAGCTTTTCCTCGAGACTCCGAGCCTCTCCAGCAAATACAATCGGAGGGAAAGCATCGATAGTCTTCAGAACCGACTCAAACTCCGCCTGATCCGGATATTCCGGAAGCTGCAAAGCCTTCCTGGACTTCCAGCTGTCCACGGTCCATTTCCCGGGAACCGCATTCTGCGGTGGAGCAGGGGCAGGCGCGGAAGCAGATTTGGCGGCGGCGAGTGGAGCGGTAGCAGGCTGCTTGACAGATTTGTCGGAGACGATGGGGTTTTTAGGGGAGTCGGAAGAATGGACGGCGGAGATCCGAATGAGAGACAATGGCTTAGTCTTGGAGAAAGGCTTTGACGGCTGAGATTGAAGGATGGAGTTGGTGGGAAGAATGGAGGAGTTGGTGAGAGCCATTTCTTTTGTTTGCTGGTGATAGAGGTAGGTAGCTGAATATACAGCGATGAAGTTAAAAGGAGGGTTTTTATAAGTGAGGGGGGCGGGGGCGGGCGACCAAAAAGCAATTGCTTTCGAGGTTTGTGCATTCTGTTTCGTGTTTCGGACAACAATGTAATAAACAAATGCTGGCGTAAGGCTGTGTCTGGTAGAGACGTGGCTTTGCTGGTAGTTGGCAAATGGGGGTGCTTTCGGAATTTTACTCCAGGGCAATTTGGGAATGTTCTCATTAGGTGGCCTAACCCAAACTTACCTATTGCAACCGTAACGAACCTATTTAAAAGATAAAATAATTTCAATGAATGAAAATGTCTTATAATATACGAT